TGGGTTTGCATTTCCAAGATGATCAGTTAAATTATAAGTTTGCTAAAATCGAAGTTCAGATAATCCCAGATTTAATTTTTTGAAGCTTCCAACTTGATTTTTTTCCTCGAGATTCGTGCCCGATCAAGATTATTTGTAGATGATATATCTGTTTCCCCCTTATTTTCAAACATTGAAGCTCTAGAAGTCCAAAAAAACTTGTGTCATTATTTTATATTGGCCGAATAATAAAAAAATTGAGTTCCAAAAGTTACGAGCCCGCTCAAATTTGATAATATAGGCCCCGTCGAGATCTGAAAGTGTCAAAATTGAGTCGAGAACATCGAAAAAACGTGTCTAGAAACCCAAAAAATGTCTGATTTGGACCATTTGGGTCAAAAATAAGCCACGAACATGCGTGGGCGATAGGCGCAACGTGCGCGAACGGCCCTGCCCCTTTGGGGAGTGCGGTTAGTCGTGCAGTTAAGGGCTTAATTATTTTTTGTGGGGCCCACGTGGACTTTTAAATCCAAAAAAAATTGAAAAAATCCCATAAAATTTCAAAAAATTCCTTAAAATTCTGAAAAAAAAATTAGAAAAATCAGGAAACTTTTATAACATTCCAGAAAATTTTTAATGTTCTTTTCTTCCCAAAAAATGCTATAAATACCCCCTAGTGCTAGGGGAAAACTTACACCTTCTTCTTTTCTCCTTCTGGCTTTCTTACAGTGGAGGCATTCCGCTATTTTTTGTAGGTGACTTTCCCTACTTAAATCGGCATCCCTCCTCTTGTACAGAAGTTAGAATTTTCTCTTCTTTCTCTCCTATTTTTCTTCTTGCTCTAAAGGCCTTCCGCTATTTTTCGTAGGTGATTTTCCCTACATAATTCGGCGCCTTTCTTCAGTGTAGAAGAAAATTTTTTCTCCTTCTACAATCTTCTTCTCTATCAATCTTCTTATAGTCGAGGTATTCTGTTGTTTTTCGTAGGTGACTTTTCCTACTTAAATCGGTGCCCCTCTTCTTATACAGAAGTTAGACTTTTTTTGCAGCCATTTCTTTTCTTTCTCTTCCCTCATTCTAACTTTCTTATAGTTGAGGCATTCCCCTGTTTGTTGTACGTGGCATCCCCTACTAAAATTCAGGGCTCCACTCCGTATTGTGAAGTTAGAAATTTTGTGACCTTTTCTTTTCTTTGAAGAAGTAGTTGTAGGAGATGCTTCAATGTGCAGTAGAGAAGACGTCAATAGAATCTACCAAAGATATTTGACCTTTTTGAAGTTATTTGTCGCTTAATGATTATAACTTATATGATTGATGCCAATTTACTTTTTAATTTAAAGTTCTAGTGAGAACAAATGTACACATGAATATGTACATAAGTAACTCCATTGATATTATATAAGAAGTTGAGAACTTGTCCTTCGAAGCAAGCTGAATTGTGATTGCATCTTTGAGATATGCTTTGATATATTGCCCCCCATATTTTTGTGAGGGTATTTTACACTATTGAAGTCTTTATATGAGTGATGAATTTATCAACCACTTGCTTTCATGAAATCTTTATAGAGAGAATAGTGTTCACTCAAAGCACTACTTGACCTCTATGGAAGAGCTCAAGAGAATCCACCAAGGATGTAAGACCTGTCTAAGGTTGTATGTTGAAGCCTTTGCTTGATGACATTAACCTGTGTGGAAGAGGTCGAGAGAATCCATCAAGAATGTAAGACCTATCCGAGGTTGTATGCCAAAGCCCTACTCAATGACATTAACCTGTATGGAAAAAGTCGAGAGAATCCACTAAGGATTTAAGACCTATACGAGGTTATATGTCAGAGCCTTTGTTCGATGATGTTAACTTGTGTGAAAGAGGTCGAGAGAATCTACCAAGGATGTAAGACCATCCGAGGTTTTATGTCAGAGCCTTTGCTCGATGACGTTAACCTGTGTGGAAGAGGTCGAGAGAATCCACCAAGGTTGTGAGACCTATCCGAGGTTGTATGTCAGAGCTTTTGCTCGATGATATTAACATGTGTGGAAGAGGTCAAGAGAATCCACCAAGGATGTAAAACCTATCCGAGATTGCATATCAGAGGCTTTGCTCAATGATGTTAATCTGTGTGGACGAGGTTGAGAGAATCCACCAAGGATGTAAGATCAATCTGAGATTGTATGTCAGATCCTTTGCTTGATGATGTTAACCTGTGTGGAAGAGGTCGAGAGAATCCACTAAGGATGTAAGACCTTTCCAAGGTTGTATGTCGGAGCATTTGCTCGACGACGTTAACCTGTATGGAAGAGGTAGAATCGGATCTCCATGGGATCAATTTTGCCTTGATTTGGACTGCGCAAATGCTAGGTGTCTCCTGAATCAAAGGTGAAGAATGGTCTATTTTTAGACCATTACTTCCTTTTTGAGGTTAAGATTAAGACCTTTCCCAAGGAGTAAAAGTCCAGTAAGGGATTGTATGTGGCTTGAAATTTATCGGAAGCATCCTTGTATTTGTCGGGAGTTTCCTTATATATTATCTTGATTTTGAAAGTCTTGGAGGGATCTTCTTTACTAAAATTATTGTCAAAGTTACCCCCTAGTCCGGATCTGGTTCCCATGAAACTGATACATCAATAGCAGTTGAATAACCTTTTGAGGTTTGAGCCAAAATTGCCGTCCAGTCGGGAACCACATTCCCATAGACAGCGCCAAACTGTTGCGTCCTGGAATATTCACGGCTATAGAGAAATATAAAATTTAACATCTTAATATTGTACAAAAATTAGGCACTCAATCAGATAAGAGAGAGGGCATAACATTCATATGAGACACCAATATTTTTACATGAAAAATCCCTGAAAAGGGGGAAAAACTATGGGGCCTAGCCCAGATTGAATGAATCCACTAGTATTTGCAGTTGATTACAAATGAGGCCCTTCTTTGGGGGAAAAGCCTTGGCTCTATGTATATCATATGCAGTACTTTACATGGTGGGAATACAAAGAGTTATTGTTGATTTGTCATTTGGTCGGACGCACTGTAGTCGGTGGGCGACATAAGTCAGAAGGACTATAGTAGGTGGGCGATGGAGGTCAGAAGGACTGTATCAAGTAGAAGTTTAATAATGAACAGAAATCCAGCATCGGATAGATGTCCGGCAAAAACCCGACAACGGGAATAAGTCTGACGTTGGGTAGAAATCTAGTGACGAGCAGATGTCTGGCGTCGAGTAGAAGTCCGATGTTAGTCGGTGGCCTGGGAGAACTCCATCGTTACTTGGAGATCGGGCGGAGTTTCGGCGTCACATGGAAGTTGAGTGGAGTTCCGACGTTATTTGGGAGCCAAGCGAAACTCCGACGTCACTTGGGCAGAATTCCAGCATCGCTAGGGAAGAATTTCGGTGTCACTTAAGCGTCGGGCAAAATTCCTGCGTCACTTAGGTGTCAGACAGAACTCCGGCAGTGGTCGATGAGGAGTTTCTTCCCTCCTATCCTACTCTTCTTCTTCTTACTTCGGCCACCTCTCAAGAGAACTGAGGGGTCTATTTATAGATTTCTAGAGTGGCATGGCCCTTAAATAGGTAAGAGATCAGGGGTAAATAGGGAGTGGTTGGATGGACGACCGATATTGAATCCCTTTATCATGTACCATTTTTCCGACATTTGAAGATTTTAATGATGTCGGAATTTGGCGTCCTTGATCTCGTTAGATTCGTTTCGTCAAGCCGCTCGATTCGACTATAAGCATGTTATGTTTGGAAATCGTTTGGTAATCCAAATTGTGGTTCGAACTTTCCAATACATCTTCGGGTCCTTGATTTGATACATTTGGGATCAGATTGAGTCGAATTTGGTGTCGTTGGGTTCATATTTCCGAGACAATCAGTTCGACTATAAGTTTATTGAAATCGGAGTTCAGATGATCCCAAATTTAATTTTTGAAGTTTCCAACTTGATTTTTGCCTCGAGATTCATGCCTGATCAAGATAATTTGTTAATGTTATATCAATCGGAAAGAGGGAATAATTCAAATCAATTTGTGTTCCAAAAAACCCTATCAAGTTTTGTTGGAGTAGGATTTATTGTTTGGCTACTATAGCTTTAATGAGAATTTGACTCTTAATGGGGCACAATGGAGAAAAATGATTCACATAACCAACCCCACGTAGTGGGATAAGTGCTTGATGTTGTTGTAGGGTTTATAATTTGGTTGTTAAACCATGTATAAGAACAACCCTCACTTAAGATGTCCAATAGGCCCATATCAAAAAAGAAATATTTGATATTCTTAAGTTTAGTGGGAAGAGGAACTTTCCCGCTTACTTTGTCATCAATGGAGGAATATACCATTGAACCCGTCCAAATTATCAAGCTCTTGTTAATAGAAGATGGAATATGCAATGGAGAATCCCATAGAAACTTCCTCTGTGCCATAATTTAAGTTTTTTTTCCCTTTTAGTCAAAGCACTTTTATTGCTTTGTGCAGATGAAATCTATCGAGGCAGAATGCTATTTTATCTGCTAATATATACCTTGAGCACCACATGTTAAGATATATAAATTTACAAAATTTCGAAACATACAACATAAAAATAGCTAAGAGCCACCTTTTAGATCTTCCTTTTTTTTAAAAAAAAATTTAGATGTTCTTCCGAACTTTATCACATAGATTTATGCACCTAGAAATTCCAATTATGTGTGCAATACAGGCTTACATTTGTTGAAAGCATTAAGTATCAAGTATTGGTCAGATCTTCAAACTTTGAACTAAACATTGCTATGGTAAAAGGGCAAACCTACATGCTTTTGCTATTATAAATCTTCTAGAATTAAGATCAGAATGGACAAATAAATGAGTATGATGCATGAGATACTACTGAATTGATGATAATGAGATGTATATTTAAGAAAAAATACCACTGAAAACTTCTAAAAAAAAAATTGTTTGACTGTACTGTAGCCATGTTGGATACTATTGTACCATTTGTGCTGGTGGAACTTGGTTTCAGATAAATTAATTCATCTTTTATATATAGAAGAATAAACAGTTGTGCAGGAATTACATTCATAGTAGAAAATTGATTATGCAAAATGTCACATACAGCATAGAAAAACCAACAAATCATAATTTTCAAGGTAGGATTTAAGGGAAACAGGATAAGGATAACAGAAATGAAAAAGAGATATTTTTTTTTTCAGAGAATCCTTTAAAATTTTCTTAAAATAAGCTAGGTTACTGAGTGGTGCTTCTCATGAGGCTTTGAGATCGGGTACAAAGTTTTCACTTAGTTTAGTCTTGCGATGAAGAAACAACATTACGTTTTGTTTGGTTGTAACCATCAAGCAGTCACTAATTGGCTTTTTCCTTTTCATCCTTGGAACTGGGAATTTTGTTGTTGTCTGAAGTTTTATCTTTCCCATCATCTGGCGCTGAACCTTTCTTAACTTGGTTATTTGAATCAATTGCGCCTCGATTATCATTTTCCTTAGTCACATCCCGTTCTTTTTCGTTTCCTGTTGAATATTTATCTTTGTCACCAGATTTAAATCCATCCTTTTTGCCTTCAATACTAGCATCATTTGTCTTAAGTTCTTTGTTTACTTCAATTTTCTCACCTTCTGAATCTTTCTTATCTGCTTCACGGTCTTTGATGTTATCAATCTTAACTGGTTTGTCTTTGTCACCTGATGAAGCTTTGTCTTTGTCACCCAATTTCTGTGCCTCTTTGTTCTCTTCACTAGCTGGCTTAGTTGCATCACTTTCTTTTCTTTTATCAGTTACACCCATTTTTCTATTGTCATCCGACGAAGTTTTATCTTTGTCATCATGTTTGTGGGTTTCTTCGTCACCATCTGGCTTATTTGCGTAAGGTTTCTTCGTTTCATCAGTCTTGCCTGATTTATCTTTGTCACCTAACAAAGCTTTATCTTTGTCATCCGGTTTTGCTCTCTCTTTATTGGCATCAATAATCGGCTTATTTGCATCCCTTTCTTTTCCTTCATCAGTTATACCTGATTTGCTATTTTCAGTTGATGAAAATTTATCTTTGTCAGTCGGTTCTGGTGTCTCTTTTCTGTCTTCAGTAGCTGGTTTAACTCCCTCCATCTTTCTGCCTATTTCTGAACTTCCGAAAGGTCCAAATTTTATGCCATTTTTACGTGTAGAAGACAATGACTTATCTATTTCACTGTTGGTCACCGGAACATAAAACTGGAGGCCTTCCTCTTCAAACTTTTTGACTACCTCCTTCCATGACTTGCGCTCAGAGATACTCTTCCACCATCGGTTAACATTCTTCCTATCCTTGAAGAGGTGACCATACTCAACAGAACTCTGAAGGTAGTATGTGTTGGGGAGATGGTACAGGTCTGCTAATGTGAAGTAATTGGCTGCAAGGAAGTCTGATTCTCCCAGTCTTTTTTCATACAAGTTGAGTACCTTCTCCAATTTCTTTTCACTCTGGGTTGTCTTCTCTACATCTGCCTCCATATTATATGCCAGGTAGAAAACTAGAGCGGAGCTTGGTGGGTTGAACCTATGCTCCTCTGACTTAATCCATTGCTCAACAGATACCTTCGCCAATGGATCTTTTCCTAGGAGATACGGGTAACCATATGCCTTGTACTTCTCCACAACATGCCTGCATATTTTCCTGGACCCTGCATAACAAATTTTGTTAATTAATTAACTTTGTTTCTAATTCTGTGATTTGTGTGGGATACTATCTTAAGAAAAATAAATTTTAAGGATCGAGTGCATTATTTTTTTATATTAGGAATGTGGTAAAAATATAATTTATTAGGAGCAAAAATAGTTTCTTTGCATACGTCCTCATCACAGGGCTGAAAAAACATGTTAGCTTGGTGTTTTTCATGAAAACACCAGTGCTTAGACCTTTTTCATGAAAACTCAAGGCTTGTAGGTATTTTCTATGATAAATCCAAAAATGCCTATGAGCATTCCCTATCCATGTCTGCCACCTGCAAAACATAGGGAATCCCTACTTACACTGGTCAGACTTAATAGAAGCATTTGAAATCAAAGCTAAATGACATCCAAGACAGAATTTATGCTATATATAGGGGATTATCTCAAGCACAAACCTGCTAAGTTATAATTTCTATTAATTCGTTAGCTCTTTGTTTCTAATTTTGTGATATAAATCGGTTGGTATCTTAATAATTCGATCTAATTTGAGAGACATTTGGAATTTACAATTGTGGGTGTTCATTTATGAAAAGAAAAGATGTTTTAGTGATTGGCATGTTACTACTGGGATATTGAATCTCCTTTTTCATTTTGTTGTTATAAGTGTTTAGTTCTTTTTGCTTTGTAGTAATTTAATCTTCCAACATGTTATTTGGAGCCAAGAGTCCTTGTTACCTAGCATGGTGCTTATTAATTTTGTTCTATATAAATTAAATATAGCACTGTAAGTATTCGAATTTAATTTTTTTAATTAAAATATCATCAAATATTATTTATCTTTTCTCTATTTATAAAAACAAATATAACACAAAAATTACTTGTTATTCATTGATATTCATGGATTTAGATATCAATGTTATGATTTTCAAATATAAGATCAAAATTGTGCATTACTTTCAACTTGTTAATGCTAATGGCATAAACAGTTTTAGGAACTTCTATGATCACTTTATAATCTATGGGAAACATCAAAATATTTTTAATTGATGATTTTTATTGCATTTGAAGATACTGATACGGTAACAGGAGTGGCGGTAGGAGGGGGCGGGCTAGGTTAACCCAGCCAGCCAGTCTAGCAGAAAGGGGCAAACTGGGTAGAACCTGGAAGAACCAGGGAGATTTCGGCCGCCTTGTGGGGCCATAAAAGTGTTGACCTGCTGTACAAAAAAAAAAGAAAATCCAAATCTTACCTACTCCCTGCAGCCCCACGTCGCGCCTCGCACGACTGCCTCTATCGTCGCCACTCCTCGCACGACTCGACGTCGCCTCACACACGATTGCTCGCACGACTTGGCGTCGTTAAAAGAGAACGAGGAAGAGGCCTTCGGCCTCCTCTCGCGATCCCGCTCGGCCTAGTTCCGCTCCAACTTCCCGAATCCTCTCCCGATCTCCCCTCTCCCGTTCGCAAATCCCTACTCCGGCGACTGAAGCCCGCCGAGCTCTCGTCGCCTCCTCCGATCCGAACCCCTGTGCCGTGCCTTCTCCTCCTTCGGCCAACTCCCGAAAGGGAGAGAAAGAGGAGAGAGAGAGAGGGAAAGAGAGAAGCTCGCCTACCTTGTTGATCGACTACACTCCTCCGTCGACTTTTCCTTCCAGTCGGACCGGAAGGTGCGACATTTTGATCGGGAGTGAGAGCAGGAGCTCGCTCGGCCGTGAAGTTAACTTTCTACCCTTCGTGCGCCTCTTCTCCCCCGCCCGACACCGCTCCTTCCACGACTTCCTCTTGCTGTAGGATCGGAAGTTAGCATTTTGATCGGAGCCAAGAACGGGAGCTCATTGGAAGTGTAGGTAATTTTCTCCCTATCACACGCTTCTTTGGCCGGATCCCGTGAACAGAGAAGAAGGGTGGGGATTAAAAATATTTTGATTAATATTAATTAATAATAATAATTATTTAATTATTATTATA